TATACACAAAATGTTATGATAAATCACAGAGAAAAAAATGTGACAATGAGTGTGTATATGTCCATGAATGACTGAAAAATTGTGCTGAACACTGGAATTTGACACAACACTGTAAAATGATTATGAATCAATAAAAAATGTAAAAAAAATTAACCCAAAATTCAGCCTAAATTTAAATGGAAATGGAAAACTAGAAAACTTTAAGGAGAAAACATAGAAAAAAATGTTTGCGACTTAGGGCTTGGTGCTGAGTTCTTAGGGATAACACCAAAATCATGCACCATGAAAGAAGAAAATCAATAACTTAGACTTCATCAAGGTTAAATCTTTTTCTCTGTGAAAAACCCTGTTAAGGAGATGAAAAGGCAAACTACAGACAGAAAAAATATTTGCAAACCACATATCTGACAAAGGCCTCATATCCAGAATTTATCTGATAAAGGACTCATATCAAAACTCGGCAGTGGAAACAAATGATCTAACTAGGAAATGGACCAAAAATGTAAGAGACATTTCACCAAAGGGGATGTATGAGTGACAGATAAACACAAGAAAAGACATTGCCGATTAATAGCCATTAAGGAAATGAAAATTAAGATCATAATGAAATGTCACTACACACCCATGAGAACAGCTAAAATAAAAACTAGTGGTGATACCAAATGTGAGCAAAGATGCACAGAAAACTGGATCCTTCATACGTTTATTGGTGGGAATGTAAAATGACACAGTCCCTCTAGAAAAAAGCTTAGCAGTTTCTTTCAAAAACTAAACATACATTTATTCTATGCAGTTGCATTCCTGGATGTTTATTTCAGAGAAATGAAAACCTATATCCACACAAAAACCTATATGTACATGATCGTTCTTAGCAGTTTTATTTGTAATAGCCCCAAGCTGAAAACCTACAAGAGGGTAATGGTTAAATAAACTACAGTTTTATTAACATCAGAACCATGGAATATTATTCATCAGTGAAAAAGAATGAACTATTGAAACATGCAACAACGTGGGGGTATCTCAAGGGCATTATGTGAAGGTAAAAAAAAAGCCAGTCTCAAAAGGTCACATACTATGTGATTCCTTTGATAGAACATTCTCTAAAAGACAAAATTATAGAGAAGGAGAGCAGATTACTGGTTGCTAGGGGTTGAGGATGGAAGGTTGCTAGGGAGGGAAGACAAGATTGTAGAGATGGAGGGAAGACAAGATTGTAGAGATAACACTGATCACATCTTTGTGGTGACAGAGTAGTTCTGTATCTTGGTTGTAATGGTGAGTCCACAAATCTACACATGTGGGAAAATGACAGAACGATACAGACACTTTATACCGATGTCAGTTTCCTGGTTTTGATGTTGTATTGTAAGTATGTAAGATGGAACTATTGGGGAAACTGGGTAAAAGGTACACCTGGCCTCTCTATATTATTTTCCTGTGAATGTCTAATTATTTTTAAAAGTTCTTTAGGTTATATACGTAGGCATCCTAGCGTCAGTAGGTAGATATTCATGTTTATTAATTAATACCTTATGAGAAGACATTGCCAAATAGAGATGCATTTCACTTACCCAGCACCAACAGGCTATGAGTGGCTGTACAGAATTTAATTTTCTATATAACATAAAACTTCTCTCTCTAAATAACGTTAAAACATTTCATGGGCATTTTGCCTAAATATATTAACATTGTCCTTGTGTTTTTCCACAAAAAGAAAAACAAAAGGCAGAAATCAATAGCAGAATCAGTCAGCTGCAAATATTGACTCTTATTTTCTTGGAAGAAAACTCGGGTGTTATCAAAGGTTTATGAGCAAATCAAAACTTAATTGAAAAAAAAAAGGCTCTGGTGGGAAACAGCCTCTCCTCCCCAGCAGACCCATGGAGCATTCTGTTGGATAAATTGTTCAGACTCCACCAAGGGAGGCAGAGCCAAGAGCAGATCAGGATCCGGGCATTTGGGGCTGAAAATTCAGCAGCCGCTCCTGTTGCTGGGCCCTCAGTAAGGAAACATATCTTTGCACCCATGTTTTGTTCGGTTTTGCACAGACTTTCTGGCCTCTTTTGGTGGTGAATCTGTGGAAAAGAGATGCTGGTGGTCAACAATGAGAACTTGTGCCTCCGGGAAGGGATGGAAAGGGAGGGGCAGCCCCTGAGTTCATCTTCTCGCTTTGCTGCACTCCTGTTCCCTCCTCGGACCCTGGCCCCGCCCCCCCCACCTGCTTTCCACTGGAAACCGCACGGCCAGGCCCACCTTCCCTGGAAACATGTTCCCCCAGCTCTAGCCTGAAGCGGGTAACCTGTACCATTCGTTTGAATACAACAGCTTTACTGAGATATCATCCACACACCGTGTAATTCGCCCACTCAGAGTGTGTAATTATAATTCAGTGGTTTCAGTGTCTCCCGTAGTTGATGCCATCAGCACCACTATCAGTTTTAGACAAAGGAACCTCAGAGGCACTGCACCACTTCATGTTCATCACATTATCATGGGTGCTTTGCTACGGCTGCTCCTGTGGTTACGGTTCCTGCATTGCCTACCACGCCGTGAGCTCAGTGAGACTGGGGGTTATTGTTGACACCTCTGAATCCTTTCTAGCCTTGTGCCTGCTGACGGCACTTGGAAGTGGCGAGAGCCTAGGTCGGGGGTGCTGACAGTGGCCAGCAGTACCTCCTGGGGCTCTCAGGCAGGTCCGGGACACACAGGAGAGAAGCGCCGAAAGAATGGGAGAACAAGAGGGAGGAAGGGCTTCGAGGATGTTTCAAACATTCACTTGATGTTGCTCTCATTGAGAGGTGGGGTCTGTGTCCCCTCCCCACAGACTTGGGCTAGTCTTAGGGACCAGTCGACCAATAGAGTGTGGCAGAAGGGATGTCATGTGACTTTGTAGCTGAGTCATGGAAGATTGAAGAACTTCTGCCTGGCTCACTGAGTACCTAGCCAGGAGCTCTGGACCTCCTTGTAAGGAGTCCTACCACCCCCCAGGCCATCTTGCTGTGAGGAAGCCCAAACTAGCCCAACAGAGACACCACACAGAGAGGCCCTGGGCGGGGGAGAGAGAGGCCTCCAGGCCCCAGCCGTTCTGGCTCCAGCACCATCTGTCTACAACCACACAAAAGACGCCAAGCCAGAACCTTCCAGCCAAGCCCTGCTGGAATCCCAGACCCCTACAAACCAGGAGAGGTAACAAAGTGATTTTTGTTGGATTAAGCGGCTAAGCTTTGGGTGGTTCGTTATGCAGCGACAGATAATTGATACAAGCCTTTCACCTTCCTCTTATAAATGAGGAAACTTGACTTGCCTAAGGTCACACATCTTATAAGTGATGAAGCCACTGCTTTGAGCCCAGCTCGGGGCCCTTTGCAGGCTGTTGGCTAAGGGTTGATGTCTTGAAAACTCCAGAAAGCCAATCAAGACGCAAAGGAGAAGACCCAGGGCCTCCTGAGCCCCGGAGCACCCCCTCTGTATCTAGGCACTTGAGTGCCTCTTTCCCGCCTCAACTGTCTCAAAATGCAACATTCAGGGCTGTCCCTGAAGCCCCTTCTCTCTCTTTCTGCACCATTCTCTCACGCTCAGGAGCCCCGTGTCCTCGGGAGCAGGGACAGCCCCTGACTGTGTATTTGCACTTAAAAATACATCCATTTGATGAACGTTTACTGGGTGCGGGCATAGCATGAAACGCTTTGCGTATCCTGACCTCATTTAGTCCTGCAGGGACACTTCCGGCTGTGTATCCTCTCTCCTGCTCCTGACGAGGCTGCCATGACCTGGCTTCCTTCCACCTGCCTGCCTTGCCAGTAACATGTTCATCCTCTTCTCATCTACCTGCTGCTCCCTCTGCCTGGCACATCCCTTCTCCTGCCTGCCTCCTTCACTGGGCCACACCCATTTATCCTGGGGCCGGGCTCAGTGTAAATGTCACCACCTCCAGGAGGCCCTCCTGACACTAAGTTAGGCCCTCCTGTGACCTGATTAGGGTGGCAGAATATGCTGCCCCCAAATATACTACTTTGGCATAAAGATTCTTTTGCGCTAAAGACACTAAAAACAAACAAATCCCCAGCAGGAGCAAGAAGGGCGTTCTGACCTCCCCTTGTCTTCCTGAAAGCGGGAGCTAGAACTCCTATGTGAAAAATGTCCTTGCACCCAGGGAAAGAAATAGTCTTCACGTCTGAGACAGAGAATCGAGACCAGGAGAATTCAGTACAAACAGACCCTGTTACGATAACTCTTACCATCCTTTGGCTTTCCCCACCCCTGTGTGTTTTAATTACTTTCCCACAGTTCCCTCTTTGTTCAAAAGCATGGTTTTGTATAAAAAGCACGTAGGCTTTGCCACTGTGTGGGTCTTCGTCTTGCTACAGGGGCTTCTGTGTTCGTATAAAAATCTGAATGCTTTTCTCCTGTTCATTTGTCTTATGTCCATTTAATTCTCAGGCCCTGCCAGAGCCCCTAAGAGCGTAGAAAGTTTTGCCTTCCTTACAATGCCCTCCTGTTCTCTCCTGCTGTCTTTTTAAGCACTCATGGCAATTGTGATCATCTGTTTTGTGCAAATGTTTTTTAATGCCCCCTTTCTTATGCTAGATGTAAGGTCTAGAAGGGCTGTTTATTCTCTCTTTTATACGCAGCATTTAACACAGTGTCTGGCACATGGTGTGGAAGTGAGGAAACCAAGTTCAGGGTCACACTTGTTAGTGGCCGGGGCAGGGTGACCACCTAAGTCACCAGGTTACCATCCTGAGGCTCATCCTGGCACTATGGGGGTCTGCCTCGCAGCCACCCAATCATGTGACTGGTAGGGACCCTAAAAACCCAAAGAAGAAATACTCACATCACAGCCTGCTGGGAGCAGCTATTCTGGGTGAATTCGTAGGTACTCACCCACCTCCAGGGAAGGATCTTTTGGCCGTACTGGAAGCAGCAGAACTTGGCCACATCACCAGCACCTGAAAAACCAGGGAGAGGAAGGAACTTAGAGATGTCCCTTTGCTTCCATCCCTAGTCAGCCCGGGAAGGAAGCGGGGCATCTCCGTACGTATGGCAGCTCCGAGATGGACGCTCAGGATAAAAATCAGGAAAAGAGGAGCAGCTGCAAGGAAGCTCTTCATGATGCTGCAAGCTGGGTCCTTCACAGCCTTCTCCCTAACTCCTGTTTCAAGGTGATCATCTTTTATGGGTATGAGCAATCTCTGAAGACAATTCTGGAGAATTTTGTAATTAAACACAAAAGCAAACCTTTTGACCCTACAGTGGGGGAGCAACCTGATATCCATGAAAAGAAGGCTGGGAAGTGAGGAAATGTTATCTGGGGAAAGGGGAGAGGCCAATGTACCCACGGGAGATTCCCAGCCAGTGCCATGACCTGAGTCAACAGCTGTTTGAAAAGTAAGGCAGAGGAAATGAAATAAGAATTCTCGTGAATTGACTTCAATTACTTTGTGACACAATCGGTCGTCCTAGGTAAGATTTCTGGCTCTCGGCCAAAGCTTTCTTGGTTTTCTAAATATTGTGTATTTCTTGCTGAGGTCTGGACAGTCTCAGGACAGGAGCATATGGCAGCCTGACCACACAATGGATGCTCGCAAGTGATGCTCCAGGTATATGCCCTTCCTATGGTCTCACATCAACTGACACAGGGTGCCAGGGCTGCCTGGAGATACTTAGATGTATCTTATCCAGTTTAGAGAGTCAAACCTGATAGAACATCACAGTCACCTGGAGCCTGGGAAAAAAAATATATTGGCTGTCCCTGTTTTGCTCCTCCTGGATCAGGCTCTTTGACAGGGGGACCCAGGAATCTGTATTTTAGCCAGATTTGGCTAAAATGGGGAAAGCAAATTTTAGAAAGGGGTAGTGACTTCTGCCAGGAGAGTCTCAGGGGAGAGTAGGCTGGAACTTTCAGACCCGTGTTTCATGACCCCTTGCTTGGTCATTCCCACCCCCTTGATATGCCCCACCAGAGCTTTAAAATTTTGAATTTAAGCTTTAAAAAAAGGCCATTATAGAATATTTCAGGGCTAGCTGGGACCTTAAATCTCATCTAGTCCAGCCCTTTGAAACACCCTCTCAGAGTCGTCCAGAATGTTTTGACTTCTCCGAGTGATGGGGAACTCACTACTAAACTCGTCTCAACCTAACACAGCTCTGTAACAAAGTTCTTTTAAGCTCTTTTTACAGTTTCCCTGAAATCTATATTCCCATTTTTTTCTACCTTTACAAAAATGCCCAATTTCTCTTCTCTTCTTTTGGAAGATGAACAAGTTGAGGTTTCAGCAGATTTGAAGACCATGATTTTGTTCGGGGTCCCCTAAAACAGATAAAGGAGGATTCCAGTGCAAGAAATCATGAGGAGCTGATTCCAGAAGACACCAGGAGGTGGGAGTTGAGGTGGGGAGAGGAGGGCGCCGCTGTGGGGCAGGTGATGGGCAGGTTACAACCACGGGCAGCTGCAGCTCAGTTCCACTGGGGGATTCTGGGAGTTGGAGCGGAATAAGCCTGAGTTCGCCCAGCTACAGGGTGAGGGAGCAGGGATGTCAACTCCCCAGCTCTCTACGTGTCATTTGTTGAGGCTGCACCCCACATGCCTGGCTTGTCCAATGAGCAGGATGAGTGTGCTCTGTGTTCAGAGAAAAGGCCCTAGGGTAGAGTCACGGGTGTCGCCTGTAAGCAGCCTTTGGCTCAAAGAAGTGAGTGATGAGGGCATATGCACGGGGCCCCAACAGCACCTGTTACAACCATTATCAACTACGTTTCCTCTTCTCTAGGCTAAACTCCCCTGTGCCTTCAATTTGCCCCCACACCATCCTATGTGAAGGCCACCTTTACACATCAGTTTCTACTGTAATGAACAGCTACTGGGTGCTGGGAACCCAAATGTTTCATAAATGGGACACAGTAAGCACTAACCGTAAGGGGCTGATGAATAGTTGGTAAATTGGATTATATTAAAACTTGGAACTTTTATTCATTCAAAGATACCAATAAGAGAATGAAAGCGATCTGCAAAGGGGAAGATTTTTGCTGGATTTGTACGAAGTTGAATAGTGTTCCACCCCCCACCCCAAATTCAAAATGCAGAGCTTCAGAATGTGACCTTATTTGGAAAATAGGATCTTTGCAGTTGTAATTAGTTCAGAGGAGATCATGTTGGATTAGAGTGGGCTCTTGTGATATTGTGATTTATATTAATAAATATATATGGGGTCTACATCCCCTGGCACACAGCTTCTAAAACTCTGTGTCATTCTCTAAGCAATAAGAACAATGAGAGCATCTTTTGATTTGATATTTGGTCTTTTGTCCTCAGTTCTTGAAATAGCTCCGGAGCAAAAAGGTGAAAGGAGTGTTGTTATTCATAACAAGCCCCTTTCAACCACACCTGAGTTTATATTAACGATGTGATTTTTTGAAAAACTCCTGGATGACCACAGAATGGGGCTGGTTGCCAAGGGAGCCAACCATGGGATTGATTAGAGGGCTGGAACTTTCAGCCCCACTCCCCAAGATGGCATGCCTGGAGAGGGCATGGAAGCTCTGGCCCCTTCCCGTGTCTTACCCTATGCCTCTTCCATTGGGCTGTTCCTGAGCTGTATCCTTGATAACACATAGGTAATCTAGTAAGTAAATGTAGTTTTCCTGAGTTCTATGAACCGCTCTAGTAAATTATCAAGGTGGGGGTCATGGGACCCTCACTGATCTCTAGCTGGTCAGTCAGAAGCACAGGTGTTATTGAACTCAGGTTCGGCTTCTCGTGGCTCAAGAATCCAATACTGAGAGACAAGTGTTGGGTAAAAGGAAAAATAGTTTTATTGAGGAAAGCTGCAATCCTGGGGAGAATGTGGACTCGTGTCCCAAAGAACCAACTCCCCACTCCCCAGGTTTTGCTTGGTGATTATAAAGGAAAAAGAGGATAGCGCTGGGTGTTGGGGAGGGAGTAATGTGTCTTCAGAGATGGTTGTCTCCATCACATGTTCCAAGTAGCTGTCATATCTCACTTGTGATGGGAACATTATCTGAGCCATAAATCTCTGGTCAGCTGGTCCTGCTGGTTCTAGCAGGTCTAGGGTCTATGTGCTTGCATTCAGCATACAGTTAACACCTTCCACCCAGTGGGGGTTTCAGTATCTTCAAGCCACCAGAAACAGCTTGAAGGAGATGGCTCAGAATATTAGCTGTAGCCTTTGAAGAGGAACTAAAGGTCCTTGACTTTGTTTAATGGCTAAACTAATATTTGTTTTGCTTGACTGTTTTCCTTTCTTTCTGCATTTTCTCATTTCTCTGATTAAATTTATTCTTCAGAACTCAGGGGAGGCCTTGGAGGCTAAAGTTCTTCTACAAACAGGGGCAGGTGGAGGCAGGTGGGGGTGGGGTGGGGTGGGGTGGGCTATCTCTCCTGGGAAGGTCCCATAGGGTCTTGCTCAGTTGTAAGGTGACAGCCTGGACCCGCGATTGGCCTCTGAAGTGGGGGCAGTCTTGGGGGACTGAACCCTTTGCCAGTGGGATCTGACAGTATCTCCAGGTAGGTAGTGTCAGAATTGAGTTAAACCGTAGGACACTCGGCTGGTGTCTGAGAACTGCTGGCTATGAGGAAAACCCTGCCACACCTGGAGTAAGAAGTGAAGCACTGAGAGTCGAGTGTTGTAGTGAGTAGACAGGAAACAGAGGGTTTGTTTTGTTTTGTTTTTTCCTTTCACCTCTAAATCCAATGACTAGTGTCCTTATAAGAAGGCTATGTGAGGGGGGAGGGTATAATTCCAGTGGCAGAGCACATGCTTAACATGCATGAGGTCCTGGGTTCAATCCCCAGGCCTCCCTTTAAAAATAAAGAAATAAACCTAATTACCTACCCCTCCCAAATAAAAATATTTTTTTAAAAAGCAGTCCATGTGAAGTGACAGACACACAGGGAAGAAGCCACATGAAGATGGAGGCAGAGGTTGGAATGATGCAGCTACAGCCCAGGAATACCTACGGTTGCCAGGATCCCCCTAAAAATAAGAGGGGCCGAGGAAGGATTCTCCCTAGAACCGGCAGAGGGAGTGCGGCCCTCCTGACACATTGATTTCAGACCTCTAAGCCTCCAGAACCATGAGAGAATAAATTTCTGTTGTTTTAAGCCATCTGGTTTGTCGTTATTTGTCACAGAAGCCCTAAGAGATGAACGCAACATGTATCTGTCAAAGGCATATAAGGATATATGATCTGTTATCAGAATATATAAAGAACACGATACGTCAACAAAAAAAGACGGACAACCCAATAGAAAAAAAGTGGCCGAGACTTAAACACTTTACAAAAGAGGAAACCCCAATGATGAATGAAATGGGATTTGATTGTATTAGTCATCAGAGAATTGCAAACTTATATGATTATGTGATATTACTGACACCCACCAGAATGACTAACATGAAAGAGCTGGCAAATACTAAACGTTAATGAGAATATGGTGCACTGGAAACTCACATACTGCTGACAGGAGTGGAAAACTCTTGGCAGGTTTTACTAAAACTGAACACATGCAGACTCTACAATCCAGAAATTTCACTCCTAGATATATACCTGTCAGAAATGCATACCTACATGCACCAAAAGACACTTTTTCGTAATAGCTTCAAGCTGGAAACTATGCAAATAGCCATCAACATACAATGGAAAATAAACTGTGGTTTATTAACATAATACAATACCATACAACAATGAAAATGAATCATAATTCCATGTAACCATGTGCGTATGTCTTATGACTTAACACTATGGAAAAGAAGCCATGTGTGAAAGAGAAATATTGTAGGATTCCACGGGTATAAAATACCAAACAAGCAAAATTAACCTATAATGATGAAAGTCAAAATAGGGCTGCCCCTTGGGCATAGTGACTAGAAGGAAGGGAGCTCTGGGGGCTGGTATAGCTGGTTTCTTGACTTAGGGGCTAATGGAAATTTTTATCCTCAGGGAAATACATTAAGCTGTCCCCTAAGGATATGTGTATCATATTTCAATAAATTAGTGAAGGGGAAAGAAATGAATTGGTGAATAAAACAAATCACTCTGCAATTAAGAAAATATTTTATTTGAGTCATCACCTTCTCATTTCTCTCCTTTCTGTGAC